GACGTCACATCCTCTTAAATGTGAGTCACTGTGCCCAGCTTTCCTTTGTGAGTGTATCTGCCTTGGTGACTATTCATGCTTGTTTTTACAGGTATCTGTTTAAACTCTCTCCACCACACTAAGGTAAGAAGGAGGATATACGTGGAGGTTTTATCCATCCTGCTCAAAACAAGAGTACAATAAGCTTTTGTAGAGTCCATGAATTGTTTAGTTGACTCCCTAACTGAGAAAATGGAACTTGCTAAAGCTGAAATGAAAAGCAAGGAATCAGAGTCAAGAAGAAATGTGAGGCAGGCAAAACAGAGGAAGACTAGGTCTTAGAAATCTACTTCATTGACTGAGCTAGGCTAACGGCCCACCTCGTAGGAATGTCCCCCTGTCATTCCAAGGACATTCTGCCCAAGGGAAAGTAATGCTGGTACTTCAAGCCAGAATGGTTCTACCTGTGAACTAGCAAAACTATTAATCCTCAATTTACTGGTAGTGGGAGGTACCATTTCAAGAACTAGAGAGAGAAGAGGACTTTACAACTGGGAGGACCTTGGCAGGCAGGTAGGCCCATCCCTGCCATTCTGAGAGCAGTAATAAACCACACCCCAGATAAAAGCAGTACCCCGACCCCTTTGCTTCCTGTTCCACTGTGGAAAGGAGCACTTTATTGAAAGGAGTTAGGAGGAGGGCCTAGCACGGCCTCCCCACCCCCATCTTAGTCCATCCTCATGCAGTCCAGTTTGTGCATCCTGCCACTCTTCTGCCTAAAACTTTTCAGGACTTTCTCCTCCTCTTCTCACAGCATGAAGACCCTAACCCTAACTGTCCAATTAGTCTTGCCCTGCTCTGTCCCTCCAGGCTCAGGTTGTGCCACTGTTGGAGGCCAGGCTCCATGTCTGAAAGACAGCCCTATGGATTTCTGTTTCTAGAACCATTTCATCTGCCTGCCACACCCTTCCCCAACCTATCAACCCAGCTAGCTCTTATGTGTTCTTTAGGTGATGTATTAAATAATGATGTTTCCCAGGAACCTTCCCAATTCTGTCAGTCTGTGTGTGTCTATGTTCATAATCACATACATACAAAAGCACACATTTTTCTGAACCATTGAGACATCTTGCCCCTCCCCATCCTTGAATACCTTAGAATGGATTTCCTAAGAATAAAACTATTCTTAAATAGCTAACATGTAGTTACCAAAATTTATCAAAGTAAGATTTAATATTATTGACACTAATCTAATCAGTGCTTCACATTCAAATTTCATCCCTTTTCTAATAACGTCCTTTATAATATTTTAGTTAAATGGGAGAGAACCTTTGTTTCTTTTGTTTTAGTTTTGGTGTTGAGACAGGATCTTGCCATGTTTCTCAGACTAGCCTGAAAACTCCAAATCCTCCTGCCTCAGCCTCCTCAGTGCTGGGATTACAGTTATGAGCCATCGTGCCTTGCTGTTCACAACTATTTTATTCCACCAGTCCTAAATGCAATTCAGAATCATATTTAGTTCATAAACTTTCTTCTATCACAAACAGGTCTTCTGTTTTTCTTTGCTCTATGAGACTTGAAAAGCATTGGCTAGTAATTTTGTGAATTAACCCCTAACTTGAGATTTTTTTAATGTTTCTAACTCAGAAGTGATGTCATGGTCATCTTTATAAATCATATCAGGAGTCCCACAATGTCAACATTTCTCAATATTATTATTATTTGAAATTATGAAAATACCCAATTTCTCATCAAATTTTCATCTAATATGACATCATTTCTGTACTAATTACTTTTCTGTTGATGTGACAAAACACCATGACCAGGAAGAAAGGAAGAAAGTTTGTCAGGCTCGGAATTACAGAGAGATCAAGAATCTGTCATGGAAGGGAGGCATGGCAGCAGAGGCAGCTGGAACCACAAGCTGAATGCCCACATCTTCAAGCAGTCACAGGAAGCAGAGCGACAAGCTGCAAATGGGACGGAGCTATGAACTCCCAAAGAGTGCCCCCAATGGCATGCTTACCCAAGCCAGGATGCATCTCCTGGACCTCCCCAAACAGTACCACCAGCTGGCCAAGTAGCCAAAGATTTGACGCTTATGGGGGCATTTCTTATTCAATCCACCACAATGTCATATCTGCTGGGTCTTCCCCAATACTATGGATTAAACCCAAGATGTGATGTATGCTAGGCAAATAGCCTACCCCTGAACTATACCCTCAGTCTTCATCTGCTTATTTTTAAGGGAGTTTACTGTGCTTCTTTCTTTTTATGGTACTAGGAATTGAAGCTAGGGCCTCACATAAGCTAAGCAAACACTGTACCACTGAGATGCATTCCCAGCTCTGCTTTTAATTTTTGTTTTGAGGCAGATCCTTGAGAAGTTTGCCCAGGCTGCCTTTGAACTCACTCTCTAGCCAGGTAAGCCCTGAGCTTGTGATCATCCTCCTTCAAGTCTCTGTAATAGCTAGAATTATACACCTATGCCATCAGGCCCACCCAGCTTATTTGACCTTATTAAAAAGGAAAAAGGGATGGAAAGATGGCTTTGGAGTTAAGAGCACTGGTTGTTCTTGCAGAAGAACTGGGTTCGAACCCCAGCACCCAAAAGGCAGTTAATAACAGCCCATAACTCCAGTTCGAGGGGATCCAACACCCTCTTCTCTCCTCCATGGGTACTGCATGGCACGGGTGCACTTATATACATGCAGCTAATACACTCATACACATATACATTTTTTAGAAAAGAAAAATAAAGACTGTGATTATGATAAAGGGGTGTTTAGAACTACCTGAACTAAAACACCTGCATCTCCTGTGTCAGTCCAATCTCTTCATTTAAAAAGACCTTGCAGCCAGGCATGGTAGCACACACCTTTAATCCCAGCTCTCAGGAGGCAGAAGCAGGCAGATCTCTCTGAGTTCAAGGCCATCCTGGTCTACATAGTAAGTTCCAGGACAGCGGGGGCTACAGGGAGACCCTGTCTCAAAAAGACCAAGAAAAATGAAAATAATAATAATTAAAAGACCTTACTTCCCCCAAATGAAAACTGCCTGCCTGGTGGTTTGGCATTAGCCAAGGCAAGATGTCTCATTTACATTTCCAACTCATGAATTATCTTTTCATTTCCTTTACCCTCGCAATAAAAAAGAATCTATGAAAGAAGCATATTTTTTCATAATGAGAAAGAAGAGACATGATATTACTTCTGGCTTGTGAAATGTCATAATATTACATTATGATGGGCATCTGTAATTCCATTTATTTTTTTCATACTTGCTACAAGGGCTTATGTAAGCTCTGAAGAGCTCCCTACAGCCTGGGGGTCTGTGGATTGAAAATCATTGTGATTGATTAAAGCCATGAGGAGAATGTCGATGAGGGTCAGATTGTGTGAGCATCAGGAAAGTAAAATATTACCATTTAAACAACAAATGGAACTTTTTCCCTAAGCAATCAGATTTACAATAGCAGGCTGGGTTGTTCATTGTAGGATTAATAATAGCTGACATTTGCTCATCCATTTATTCAAAAGAAAATAGTCCTCCGAGCCCAGTAAGTGAAAAAGACCATTATGTATAGCTTCTGACTTCACAAAGCATAACTTTGAAAGATTTACTTCTGAATCTTTAAGTGAAATTGGCCAAGAGAAGTAGCTAAGATTATAGTCCTACCCCACCATGCACAGTCTGCTAGGTATTATTAAAAATAAAAATAAAGAATGGATTATGATAAAGTGGTGTTAAAGCTACCCCACCTAAAATACCTACATCTCCTATATCTCCAGTCTCTTTATTTAAAAAGTTCTTACCACCCCCAAATGAGAAATGTATGTATGTAACCCTGGAGGGCTTAGTCATGGATTCCATTAAAGAGCCTAGCAGCTGGAAGATCCTGAACACAGCAGCATTCTCTGCCACTGTTAGTTGCCTTTACATCACTGTGACCAAAATACATGACAGACACTTCAGGGAAGAGGGATCCGTTTTGGCTCGTGGTTTCAGAGGATGTAGTCTGCGGTTACATTATCTCAAGTGCTTGGGTAGAACATGGTGGGTGAGCACAGGGTAGAGACGCTTCACTTTTTGGAGGATGTAGTTGAGGATGACCTTGAACTGCTGATCTTCCTTCCTCTATCTCCTGAGTGCTAAGATTACAGATGTGTGCCACCACAACCTGGTTAATGTGTGATGGAATCCAGGGCATCATCCAGGCTTCAAGTTGAGTTTTATCCTTAGCCCCACCCACTTTAGGTTCTGATCAACAAATGAGTTTCTCTGAAATGTTACAAGTTTAAATTTTTGTATAGCCAAAGAATTCCTATAGAATAAGTAGCCCTCAGTAATGAAATACGTGTGACATGAAAACTTAAGGTAGGAAATACAGAGGACCTAGGGGGAGGGCAGTTTGGGATGGGTACCAATAACCACAAAGCATCATGTCACATATGTAAGAAAATGCCACAGTGAAACCCATTACTTGGAATGCTAACTTGTAAAATCAATTGAAAAATGTTTAAAACTTCTCTCCTTTTAAGACATGTCAACATAATTCTGTGTACCATCCACTTTGTTCCTCTCAAAATCACATGAGCAACGTTCAATAAGAATAGCTTTCTTCATTTTATGTGGGGAACTTGAAGTGGACAAAGGATTTGAAAGGTCATCATTAGAAATGAACCAGAGCTGAAATTCAGACCTCCAGAATAACATCATTGCAGGCCAAGCTCCAGCTTTTCCATATCCCCAACCATGTCAATACCTCCCATATCACCCCCATTGACTGTGCTCACAACACTGGTCATAGTGTTAGTAGCATACTATTTATATTAGTTGTTTAATGTCTCTGACACTAGAACAGGTTGATTATAGGAACTAAACTATTTTTCTTCTAAGATTGGCCTTGCATAGAGAAATGAACAGAGGCCATGTTGCTTCTCTCTCCTAACCACAGTAGCTTCATGTGTTGATATGCCACCTATTTCTCATGACCATAGAAACTTCCCGTGTGTTTTCAGATTCCTGTTGCCTGCTGCTAGAAATGGCCCTGTCCATGGACTCATCTTGGCTCCGGTGGCAGTGGCGAATCCAAGACGGCTTCCCCCAGTCTCCATCAGAAACCACACCGCTGCTCTCTCCAGAGACGGGCAGGCAGAGCTACAACTCAACACAGCAGCGAGTGGTATTCCCCAACAACAATATGTGTCACCAGGACTGGGACAAGGTCTCCAGGAGATACCCTGGCAATAGGATCCGTACAACCAAGTATACCCTTCTCACCTTCCTGCCTCGGAATCTCTTGGAGCAGTTTCATAGGTACACAGGTGTCCAAACAACACACATCTTAACCAAGTATTTCCCATGTGATGAGCTCAGAGATGCTGCCCTCTGAGCACCTTTATTTTTATTTTATTTTATTTTATTTTATGTGTATGAGTGTATTGCTTGCATGTATGCAAGTGCACCTATGTCATGCAATGCCCAAGGAGGTCAGAAGAGGGCATTAGATCCCCTGGAACTGGACTTAGAACGGTTGGTAGCCACCATGTGCTTGCTGGGTATTGAACCCAGGTCCCCTGTAAGAGCAGCTAGTGCTCTTAACTGCTGAACTGTCTCTCCAGCCCCAACAATATTTTTGAAATTATCAAGTTGATAGAAAACTATTAACTAGAAAGCTAGGAGCCCCAGAGCAAAACTGACTAGTTTAGATTTGCTGAATCAGTGAGCTCTGGGTTCAAGTGAGAGACTCTGCCTCAGTATATAAGGTGGAGAGTGATCAAGGAAGACCCTTGACATCAACCTCTGGCCTACCTACACACATGCACCCTGTCACATGTGAACACATATACATATACACCACACACACACACACATTTTAAAAAAAAAAAAAAGGAAAAAAGAGAAAGGTGTTAGGACAGAATAATGTTCCTTCAGACCTATCTTCATGGGCAAAGGAACTGTGGAAAAGAAAATGAGATTCATTTGAAAGTATAATCCATTCTTTTGAGATACAAAAATCTTTATTAATTACAAACCAAGGTATACACTTATAAATCACAAAATTTATTAAATCTTGTAATTACTATTGAGCAGCTACCATGGTCCAGCGTCCTAGTATACACAAAACCAATATTATATCATGTAACATTTACAAGGGTCCTTTAAAGCAGATAGTATTATGTTACGTTCATTTTGCATGAGAGAGAACAAACCCAGGTCAATGAACTAGTAAATAGAAGAAACAGAAACAAAGCCAGTAAGAAGGCTGGGTGGGTAAAGACTTGTGAACAGGAATGATGACCTGAGTTCAATCCCCAGGACCCACATGGTAGAAGGAGAGAACCAACTCTCGTAAGTCCTTGAACGCCACATTTGCATCATGACCTCTCTCTCTCTCTCTCTCTCTCTCTCTCTCTCTCTCACCCCCCATACACACAAATAAATGTGATAAAAATAACTTTTTAAAACAATAGAAACAATTACAATCTACATCATTTGGTTTTGAAGTCTTTGCAATATTTGAGTTAACACTGAAAGAGAATCTATGTTATTTGGGTTGGTAAGAGCCAACAATTGGGAAGAAATTAGAACAGTGTATTTTGCTCTTCCAATGTTTTCACTTAGGCCTTGCTGGTCTCTCCAGGTGGGCTAACCTCTACTTCCTGTTCCTGGTGATTCTGAACTGGATGCCCTCCATGGAAGTCTTCCACAAGGAAATAACCATGCTGCCATTGGCCATCGTTCTGTTCATCATCATGGTCAAAGATGGCATAGAGGACTTCAAGAGACACCGCTTTGATAGAGCAATGAATGGTTCCCACATTCGAATGTATGAAAGGTAAGAGGAACACACCTGTTCTCTTTCTTGCCATTGGTTAAGTAAATTCGTTAGCATATGATCAAAGGATTGATCTCTGCTTGCATTATGTTTTCCTTGTATATTCATTTATTTATTGTGTGTTTGTGTGTGTACACACTTGCAACAGCTAATGTATGGAGGCCAGAGGACAACTTGCAGGAGTTAGTCTTCTCTTTCCACTACATGGGTTCCAGGGATTGAACTCAGGTCAGCAGACTTGGCAGCAAATGCCCTTACCCTCTGAGTTATTTGCTGACCCTGCATAATATTCTTAAATTCACTGGATTGAGTGATTCTCATCTGGAGATGATTTTGACACCCACCCACCATGAGTATTTGGCCATATCTGGAGAGATAAGGTAGGGAGGATACTACTAGCATCTAGTAGATGGAAGCCAGGGACACTAGTACATATCTCACAATACACAGGACCCCCCAAAACATACACACAATGAAGAATTACCAAGTCAAATATAGCAGGGTTAACATCAAGAAACCTTGATGTAACTCATGAAAACACTCATATTCTTAACAACACAGACATTGTGTTATTATTGAGGATGAGCTGGCAGCAGCTCCAGGATTAAATTCCAGAATGAATGGATCACCTCAGGGGACTAACTTCCAAAGAAGCTCTTTCAAATGTATCAGGTAATGTCACTGGAATAAGAAAATGTATGCTATTTTTAAAGCCTCGAGTTTCCTAGCTAAAAATCCTTGCTTTCACTACTTAACTGGGCAGGTTTTAGGACCCAGAGTGAACGCACCAGTTTGTGGCTGCCCAGGGTGAAAAAGGAAGACACCTGCAGGTGACGTCTACATTCCAACTGGTGGAGTTTCACAAGCAGAAGGGAGTGCCTGCTGGATGCACACTCATTCTCCTGCAAGCTCCTTCCTCCTTGCGCTTCTCCTGTCCTGTTCATAGACTGGCTTTGTTTCTGTTTTCCTTTTGAAAGAAAAGGGGGGATTTTTCAGCAAAGGCGGCAAGTAAAAGATGAGAATTAAATTATGAGATTCCAAGAGGCAGGCTTGGGCAGACATGAGAAAGGAAGGGAGGAAAAGGCGGAAAAGGAAAGACGACAAGAAACGGGTGGTGCTCTCCAACCTGCCTTTCGAAGGATGGTCCTACAAAGAGAACCCCAACCGCCATTATTGTGGGAATCAAATCAAGACCAGCAAGTACACCGTGCTGTCCTTCATTCCCAAGAACATTTTTGAGCAGCTACACCGGTTTGCCAACCTCTATTTTGTGGGCATTGTCATTCTGAATTTCATCCCTGTGCTCAATGCCTTCCAGCCTGAGATGAGCACGGTCCCAATCTGTGTCATCCTTGCAGTCACTGCGATCAAGGATGCTTGGGAAGACTTCCGGAGATACAAATTGGATAAAGTCATCAATAACCGAGAGTGCCTTGTCTACAGCAGGTAAAGCAAGCAGCTCTAGGGAAGTCTTGTGAGTCCAACCTGAGGTTTCTGTGGCCTTCAGCCATGCAGCCACTGCTTGTAAAATGAATGGTGGAGGGAATGTTGATCATTTACCTCAGTGAAGTGTTCGGTGAAATTTAGAGTCCAAACTTCAGGCCAAAGTGATTGAGGACGCCTTTCAAATTCAGAGATCTTCATCATGTGGTACTTTCAAGATTTTGGAAATTTTTGCCCCTTCTTAGTCCAGTCGGGCTGTGAGCATGTTTGACTCTGGGAGGGAAGAACCATTCCTGTTTGTCAGGGGAGCAGCAGAGAATTCTGTTAGGAGACAGAGCTGGAGGAGATAGCCTGGGCTGCACACTGTATCTAGTCCTTTCTAACTATATGGCCTTAGGCAAGGGATGTAGACTCTTAGCTTCCTGCTGTGGTTCCTAAAACTGGAGCAATTCCTGAAGTACAAAAGTGAATAGCACAAGATAATCCTAGGAAGGACTTAGTGTTGGCTGTAACAAAGCAAGCTACAATCACTTTCAGAACACCAAATTCATATCTGCCCGGCCACTGGCTGCCCTTGTGGCTCATTTCTAGGGTTCCAACAAAGAAACCCTGCAGGTTACAGTCTTGCCACATTATTTAATGTGTTTTATACATATAGATATTCTACAAACTTCCATTGGCCACATGGCCCAACTGGGCTGTTAGAGACATGCTTTTGTTTGGTAAGGGAAAAGGACAAAGTTAAAGTGTGTCTCTACTGTGTGACAATCTGTGTAGCCCCCAAGGAAGCAGGGGAGTGGAGCCCAGGCTTCATGAAAGACAGTGGCAGCCAGTGATTCCCCAGGCAGCTAGCAGTTCAGCAAGTCTCCATACCTGAATTGCCTAGAGATGCAGATGTAACTTCTTGTCAAAGAAGGAAAGTACCACCTCCCTGTGGGTCTATCTTATTCCTTCTTTCTTTATCTACCATGGAGGTAGGTAGAGGTTTTACTGACAGAAGTCAAGTCTTCCCTGGGAGAGTGAAAGGTGATTACTTTGAAGTATGTCCTCCAGTCAGTTAGGATCTGCTAACTTAAATAAATTCTCTACCCTGGGGAATAAAAGGTGGACTATTTAAATTGGATTACAGAAGGGCTTGGGAGCCAGACTTCCCTTGGGAAGCTGTCACCAAAGGAAGCCTCCAGGGAGACTCATATATAAGGACCTGTTTGTCTCCAAAGAACCCCTAAGTAAAACCCATGTTTGCCCTTTAGGCACACTTAAACTTTGACCATCTTTGCTGATTAGGCCACAATTGTATGTCTAGAGAAATTAATGAGGGAGGGCTCCACCCCCTCCCCAGCTAGATCTAATAATCGTGAACATTGTACGCACACTGACCACCTGTTGCTGAGATTTAGACATCCCTTGCACTTGAGTAAGACTACAGAAAGGAGAGGAGGGCTCGCTGCTGGCCTATGAAGCCTTTCCTTGAAGAAGTTGATTTTAGGAAAGCATTTGTTTTCTCTGGGCCCAATCCACCCATCCTTACTTTTTATTTACCTCCTTTCTCTTTCATTCTCTTACTGTTGTTTTCATGGACACTAGCACAGAGGCAAGGTGGAAGTAGATTTCCTGGGGAGGGATGGGGGTGGTCGCCCACATGCCTGGCCTGTTCTCCCTGCTCTTACAGAATATCCTGGAATAATGAACCTATTCCTGGCATTAATCCCAATGTTGATCAGACCACTGGCTCACCTGGGCAGAGAGCCACACTGACCTTGGCCAGCCTCTTGTTCGTTCTCACTAGTTTCCAAGGAACACAGGAAAAGTATGTTAATAGCAACCTAGAAACAATAACAACCTAGTGTGATTTCATGTACCTGTAATCTCAGCCCAAGGACAGAGCACAGGAGGTTCAGGAGGTCAAGGTCAAGGCCATTCTCAGCTACACACTTCAAGGCTAAGTTTGACTACATGAGACCTTTTTTTTTTTTTTTTTTTTTTTTTGGTCCTTCTGAGACAGGGCCTCCCTGTAACCCCAGCTGGCCTGGAACTCACTATGTTGATCAGGCTGGCCTCAGACTTGGAGATCTGCCTGCCTCAGCCTCCTGAGTGTCAGGACTAAAGGTGTACACCACCACACCCAGCTCCTGAGACCCTGCCTTAAAATAAAGTAAGAATCTAGAGAAGGTGTTAATCCACAGACTCACTGACAGGAAGAATATAAAGGGATTTCTGGCAGTATTTCTGAAAGGGTATTCAGTAGAGAGACAGTGATAAGGAACATTCTTTGAAAAGACATCCCAGCCAAAAATATGTAGCGGTCCTCATGACCCATGGCTCATGGTTGAGGAAGAAAAGATTCATGTATTCTTGGTGAGCCTCATGTTGCTCCAGCTTGCTAGGACCTTGAAAATATTTTTAATATCTAAGTGTGGAAATGTTTGATTTTTTTCAATGATAGCAAGATAATTGGCTATGGGGGCCAGGCAGGTAATTAACAAAATGACTAGATATGGTAATAAACATAGGACTGCTCAGATGCTGACTCGTGACATCTGTGTTTGGATGTGATGGGAAATGGTAGGGGCCTGGCAGGCTGAGGAAGCCAGGGATTCACCTCAGAGCAGAGCTGGCTGTTCAGCCAGCATGTTTTGCTCTGGAAATACAGGCCCAGTATTGCATAGGCCACATTTGCCTGAGTTTCTTAGGAGAGCTAGAAGTTGATCTTTCTTTTCTTTCAAATATATTTATTCTTTTACAGTTTCATCCAGACATATGCTCTTTAATCATATTCCTCCCATCATCCTCTTTTATCCCCTCCTACTCCCACCAAACCCCTTCTTCCCAACTAGCCCTACACCTACGTTCTGGTCTTTTATGTGTCCTACTGCAGTTAATGAGGGTTTTTTACATGAGCATGGGTGGGAAGTGGGGGAGAAGAGCAGCTTACCAAAGGCTACGACACTGGGGTGTGTGACTCCCCATCCACCAGAAAACATGAATTGCCTATGGTTCCCCTTTTAAATGTTGCTGAATTGGGGCTGGAGAGATGGCTCAGTAGTGAAGAGCACCGAGTGCTCTTGCAGAGGACCAGAATTCAAATCTCAACATCCACAAGGCAGCTAACAACCATCCATAACTCCAGTTCCAGAGGATCCGATATGCCTTCTTCTGATCTCCGCAGGCATTGCACAATGCAAGTGCACTTACACACATGCAGGCAATACACTCATACACATAAAATAAAAATAATGCATACTTTTTTCAAAATGTTGCCGAATGACATAATTTTTGCAAATACTTCAGTTCCAACTTATTCTGTTTGTCCTAAAGTTCTGTTCTTCCTGACAGCTTCCTAGTTTTCATACTTTACTTTGCAACATCCCTGGAATCAAGAGAGTTTGCAGAAGAATAATTATGTTCTTCTGGAGGCTGTTTCTCAATGAAGGGGCACCTTTGGACAGAGGGGAATGTGTGGTATGAAGGGACAGTACACTTAGGAGTCAGCTGCCTGTCCTGTAGGCCCAGGTATGCAACCAGCTATTAACAGTCCAGGAAGATCATTTAAATCT